TTCAAAGTTAGTTGTGGAGGCAGCTGCAGGCTTTTCTGAAGTTTCAGTTGTGTAGATGATTGACATATTTCTGAGCAGCCTGCACTGTGGGGCCTGTATCCTCAAACGATTAACTTAAAATAATTCACTTTATTCTGAATGATAAAATGGTTAATTCAAACCTTTGTTATTAACATACACCAATAAAGCACATTATTACAAATCAAGTAATGCTCCTGGAGATTTCTGAAATAATTCTTGTCATTTGTTTCCCGTACACTGTCACTTTCCCCTCTCTCGGGCCTCGAGTCAATTGAGTAAACAGAGCCAGACAGATGTTTGTGGATGTTAGTGACACATGAAGGGGAAATGGATCATCAGCTCTTTACAACAATATCCAACTTTACTTACTTACTAAGTCTGCAGGAATGGTTCCCTCCTGTGCCCTGAAATATGCTTTTATTTCTGTTGCCCGAAGCTGTAAGTGGCCTGTTTCGTAAAAACCTTTACACCGTATTTGTTGTGCCATTATTTTCATACATAAGGCTCACCGGATTAGAAGGCTCATTAATTAAAGCTGGTTTACCTGTTAACAAAAGCACTATGCAGTACAATTTTTACCTAAATTTTTTAAGTGAAAGGAAACCACCAGATCGGGTTGACTCAATTTATTTAACAGTATAAACTCTATACTGATAAATAAATTGAGACAGTAGCTCAGTTGGTAGAGCATTGGCCGTGGGTTCGAACCCACCATGAGACCTTCTCCACCGACTCCCACTGATGACTGTTGTCGTTCTGTCCTTGGGCAAGACACTTAACCCCACTTTGCCTGAAGCCCCCACTGAAAGATCAACGCTATATGCCATAGAGCGGCCATCCTCCTGGACTCTGCAGGAGGATCAGTGAGGGGCTGGTGCTATGTGGACTGGGTGGCATCTCTGGCCACCCCCCCGACCCAGAAATGGATTAAGGGGAAGAAAATGGATGGATGGATGGATAAACTCTGTAACTTAAATAACTCAACATGTTTCAGTAGTAACATTTAAACAAACACAACTTGGTTATGAAAATGAAAGAATTATGAAATACAAAACAATGCTATAATGGCTATTACCATGCTCAACTGCTGCATTGATAGCTTATCTTAAAATCTGTTTGGTAAGCATGTCTAGGGGCCATTTGGACTAATAGTAGTATTAGGCAAACGTTACAGTAATAGTCCGCAAGGCACCATAAAAAACGAGAGATCCGAGGATGTTCATATCTTTAGTGGGGATCCGTCAGTGCGCACCTGCCCAGTTTGTTGTTTCACCTGGACTATTTAAGTTAACAAACTATTTTTTACACAAAGAAGAGTGAATAAAAGTGATTTGGGTACAACTATAAGTGAAAGAGCACAAACAAAGACAGTAAGACCCGAAACTTTGCATTTAGCCGTATGGCGCAATCAGATGCATGCGTCTCATATTTTTGCTTCATTCATTTACGTGTGACGCATCCAGCTTCTGTGCCGGCTCGAACCTTTACATTTTGGCATTTGACTAGCTATATGGCTCGGTCTGTATTCACATACAGAAATTGAATTGATAGGGCGCACCGAATTATAAGACGCACTGTTAAAATGAAATACTTTTATCCGCGCCGACTAGTGCGTAAAGTACAGTATTTAGAATCCTCACTCCTGAATTCTGAATATTCAAGTTGAAGCTGTTGGAGAGCCTTCCTCCTGGGATCCTGTTTTCTCCCCCCAGTATTCACCCACACAGCCAAATCGCACAGCGCACTCATGTGATATAACCAAGAGCCTCTTTAAGGCACACTTAAGGAGGCTAATCTTAGTTTAAAACATTGCATTCCTCTCAGGCAGGATTTATCAGCATGATGCCATCTGCTTATTAGAACTGTGGTGCGGTTTCCACAAAAGCACCGTCACCTCAGATGGCGTCTCCTCACATCACCTCCTGTCTCATCTGCCCATCACAGTTGCTTTACCTCGGCTTACATGGATTACACAGAGAATACATTTACAACAATCTGCACAACACAGGTTTTGGTTGAAATAGGAAAAGGTGCTCTACCAACTTTTCTTGTTGCACATCTGAAAAGCTTTCTCATCGTGAGCTGCAACTCTGGCGTCTGCTTCTCTCTGTGGAGGTAGATAAGTACCTGGCAAACAGGGATGCTCCGATATTTGGAATGGAATTGTTCCTTATCCAGGATTCTTTTAGTATCAAATCGGATTTTGTTGAAATTATATTTCAGCCGTCCTATTGATTTATATTTATTGTCTCAAAATGTATTGTGCCCTTCTTCTAATTGGCAAACCAGCCTCGCAATTATGATCACTATCAACTATTGCAATAACATTTTCCACAAAGATTACCAGGGTACAATGGAAAGCGTGTTTTAGGTTGGATAATTAGTATTTTGTTTGGCTCCTTTTCCCTGCAAAAGCAATTATCTAGTTTACAATTATAGGCAAGAGCATTGGGCCAACACCTCAAAACACCTCAGGAGAATAGGGATATGAAGTAGACACAAGATACTGCCATGCAAAGTGAATAATAATGAATGTTAATTAATAAAATAAATCTCGTGCATAGGATCCATCACTCGGCTAAGATATAATTAACAGATAATGAACTACCTCCTTCTTTTGACTGATGTATTAATAACTACAAGGGTACAGTACATGGTGGAGCGCATATCTTAACCTTGGTTATGCTCCTAATTAAATCGAATAGACATCTTGGGATAAAAAACCTCCCTATTACTCCCTCTCCTCCCTCCTAATGTCAAGATATCCATGGACTACAATAACCCCATGACCTCCACTACTGTAAAGATGGCATTTGACATTGGCAATGCTGTGGTAGAGGCTAATCACTTTATACAGAGACGAGTGTAAACAAACTGACACTTGCCATTGCTCCAAGCTGTTCCCATGTGTTTGGAGGAAATCAAGTCTGGAGGTGTGAGCTATTAACTGCAGGGCTCTTGTGGGCAAACAGATCTGCTTCACACACTGTTATCAGAAGTGACAGCGCATCAACAGCTCCGTCAGTGTGCAGTTATATTAGCTTTCGCAGTCCTAATTGCAAATGTAGAACTATGGCGTACCTCGTTCTTCTGTGTCAGATTAAATGTGAGTGGCTGGGTAAAAAAGTTGTACCAGGTACAGGATTTACATCACACAGGAGCTTTTTTTTTCAGGAATCTGATGTGAATCTGACAAATCTTGAAGCTCAGACTTTATAATACATATAAGGTAGTCTTCTATGACTTATTAAGAGAATAACCCTTTAATGGTTTCCTGACTCATTTGGTCGATCACCCTTTGAGTCAATAAATCTACTTTTAGCATGTTTGGAACTGAAATATACCGCTTTTCTCTCTCTTGGTTTTAGGCATTTTTACCATTAAACTGCATCTCAACCATTTGGTAAAGGCCTATAATTTTAAAAAATGGGTGTGAAAAAAAAACGTAAACTAGGGCTGTCAAAATTGTCGCGTTAACGCACTTTATTTTTTATTTTTTTAAATTAATTGTGTTAAAAAAATGAACGCATTTGACGCATGTGCCGAATGACCCGCCCACGCATCCCATATAACACTGAAGTGATGCGGACCCATGCGTGTGAGATGGCGACAGAGCAGGTAGGCATTAGTTAGCATTAGCAGAACTTCATATAAGCTGTACAGAATTACTGATGAAATGGTACCAAAGTAACTCACTGCTAACAAAATAAACAGTACAATAACTGAAAGATTACCGCTAGTTTTGCGCCCAACTGTCGGCGGTCCGCACCTGCAGGTCTCTCCAGAAGATACTGTAGGGATTTCATAACACTTTTAAGCAACTGTGGTTAAAGTTCAAACTCTTCATTCTTACATTTGCACTAGCCAGTACTTTTCCCTTGTTTTGTCTATCTGAAGGCCAAGCTACAAGCACACTGTGGCAGCTGCTGATTGGAGGTCTCTGTTTCTCCTGAGTATATTACCACTTGCTGTCTGTAACATCCCTTGTTCGTGCTATCTCTACCATTGACAATAAAACATGTCTTCTGTCTGAATTAAAGACACAATCCCAGACTGGCTGATTCCTAACAGGTGGTGGAGAAAGACATTTTACACAAAATTTTGTTTTTTTTTTTAAGACAAAACTGAAAAACCTCAAGAGAAACCATGCACCTGGATAAGCACACATGGACAATCTGCACAGCAGATAACACATTTATAGGTGTTACGGATGAGTAGGCGTAGACCAATCAGAAAGGAAAGGGGAGGGAGCTTGCATCGTTTTTTTCAAATCAAGTACCTCGCTTTCTTCTTTTCTGACAAACTGCAGACAATCAATTTAAGCTAAGACTTGATTAAACATTTTAATCGTTTGACAGCCCTAGTAAAAACAAATTGTGTTATTAGAGCTCCTACATCTTAGAAAATCAAAAAATAGAAAGAATACATTACTTCAAGGGATGCGATTAATAACTTAAATAATTGATAATTAAAGGTGTATTCTGCATGTATGAGTGGGCATCATGGTGTTTTTACTATTGATCAGGGTCTACAGTGCTCCAGCATCAATTGTTCTCTGGTGTGGGGGTCCGTCAGAAGCTAAAAGAATATCTTCCAAACAGTTGATCTTTTAGCCACACTAGAGACCACTGTGATGGAAAGTAAAGGTGCCATGTGACCATTAATACAGCCCCTAAGTCACCAAAAGGTCCATTACGCAAAATGATTCAACTTTTTTTCCCATCAGTATCAATTATTTTAGTTTAGCGCATAAAGGGTTACCTTAAATTTCTTGTTTTGTAATCCAGTCCACTCCACTTAAGTTAAGAAATCATAAAATACATCAAATATTTGCAAACTACAAAAAATAGTACAAATCAACCTCCAATGCAAACAAAAACACTATGTTCTTCACCCCTTTGCTGCTCAATACCGCTGATGAAAGCTAAAACTACACAATCAAATCCTGACCATGCCTCTGTCTCCTCTCATTTCCTCAGAGCGGAGACGGACCGTAACCCATGGGTGGTGCTGACCTCCGCTCTGCTGACCCACTGTCACACCGTGGACCTGGGCCAGCAGGTCGTGGCCATGGTCCGGTCTCTATATAACACCAAGCACAAGCTCCCAGCCCAGGTAATTCTACACTCTGTATTCAAGCAACCGCACACACGCGAATGCTTTTAACGTGGCATGCCGCTGTTGTCATGTTTGGTGTAAAAAATGCAAGACCGCGGGCAGCAACATTGAGCTCAGCATTTTAATATAGAAGAACACTATTAAGAATGTTACCCACGGCAACCTGAACATAACATAGGCGCTTTCCACCGCTTTGAAATGTGCCCCCGTAATGCTATCCATGCCCCGCTGAGCACTGGTTCGCCTAATGACATTCTCTATGTGTCTAGCTGCAGCTGACTGTGATATTAGTTTAGCGCTAATGCTATTCAGCGTGAATAGGCTAGTGTCGGCTTGGCTGTCTCTAATATTAGTGTGGCAAAAGTGAGGGGGGGACGGGGGGTTGAGAGATGGCAGGGAGCAGAGGAAGGCCTTTTACTTTGCTCTGAACAGCTTTAATTTGAATCTGCTGGGATGAAACTGGCGGAGCATGGGGAGGAGGGTTGAATTGCGTTGTGATATCCATATATTGCCGGGATGCCTCTGCGTGTTTGCTGCCGGCGTAAACCCTTTTAGATGAATCGTGTGGCTGCCGCTTGTAGGCACTGTATTTATGCACATCCATTAACCTTTCCTGTTCCTTCACCCCACCTCCCACATGTTTCTTCTTCCGTCCTCTGATTACATTCCTCCCATTTCATCTGGTTTTGGCTCGAATCAAATGCTTTTTCCTTTATCTCTTTGTCCCTGTATCTTGGCCCTAATCACCCGATCGTCCCTCTTGTAGTGTCTCAGGAGCGTAGCCGCACTCTTGCTCCAGCAGCCCAGTCTGCAGCAGGCAGCCCTCAAACTGATGGCGGAGAGCACGAATGAGGAGCTGCTCAGACTGACCCTGGATCAGGTCAACAGCATGAGCGCGGTAAGTGTCAAAGCAGCTTTTGTGTTCATAGAAATAACATGGCCTTTAAAATCGCTGATAAAAAAGGAATAGGTCAACCTTATGTCTTGTTTAACCCGTCTGCAGATATGTTGAGAGAGCATCTGTTATTGACAAAAGAAGAGCACCGTCTGTGTTACCTGTGTTTTGATCATACAGAGTTCAATTTTGCAATGAACAGGAAGTGCACAATTAGCATGCCAGTTATTAGCTTTAAGTTATAGCAAAACTCAACTGTGCCTTGATGTAAATGGCGCTTTGAGAACTTAGCTCTATAGGGATGCTGGCAATGTGTGAAAAATAGGTTATTATCGCTGGAGTGGACCTTTGTACGACAGTAATATCAGTGTAGCAAGATTACATACATTATTGTTAGCTAGTTGTCCTTTTTAAAGAATCATTCTTGCATTAAAAAACACTTATAGTACTACAGTTACTACAACTTATGCAATGTTAAAGTTGAAGATCTTTTAAGAACTTAATGTAGCATATTAAAACAATGCAAGAATACCAGGACAATTGTTGAAGCACTCAAGCAAAGGTAAGGATTGGTCTTACCGGTTTATTGTATTTGTGCCTTAATTTGCAAAATCCAAAGATGTATCGTTCGCTTAATCAACTTCTCCAAATCTATAGTGCACATTCTCTTTTTGTCTTTAAAAAGAGCATTTAAACGGCTCACTAGACAACTTCTTGCCTCGTACTTCTTCTATCAATGGAAATGCCACTTAATCGTGCTGACCTTACCTCGGCCTGACTGGAGCACTTAAGAACTGGCAACGCAAAGACACACTCGCAGATAGGGCCTTGACGCAACTATTGAATGTGGGGAAAACTTTTGCCTTGCATTCGTAGCTCACCTAATTATTTTAGTTTTTTTCCATCCACAACTGATTCCATAAAGTTGAAAAGGACGGACAGGTAGTTTCAGATGGGTCGGATTAGCCAGTATTTGCATATTAAGTGAAGTACTTTATCTGATCTGAAGTGGCCACGGCGCAATGCTTAAAGGTGCTTCATAATGTCAAAAAGATAAGGGGAACAAATTGATATAGCGATTTTTATTGGCTCAAAGTTGTAAACTTTTTTTTCAGATCCTATTAAAAGTTATGAATAAACCAACATTGATGTCGAAAACTTTTGATTTAGTGCGTCAGTGTCCTTCAGTTTTGTGGAGTTTCAATCAAATAAGTGTATAATCTTCTTCAAGTGTGTGGGCTGCATTCCACCACTTCAGCATCAGATAAGCAACAAGCACAAAGCGGACCTCTCCGACCCGAAAGACCCCGCTTTTGTTGTGGGATCAGATAAAAGAAAGCCACGCTATTAAGAAACTGAAGCTCCTATTAAATGCAAAGCTCTTTGGATCAGGACACCTAAGCAACGGCGCGCTTTCATTCCAAATGAGGAAACTGGATGAAACTACTAAAGAAGGAACAATCTGCCGACTCATTCGCACACAAACTTTTGGTCTACCGTGTAAATGTGCTGATGAAGATATCAATTACTGTGTTTCTTTTTAGATCATTTTTAATTGGTTCATTTTTCTTCTGCAAGGTTTTATTGGAGACACATAATAAAACCTAAAAACCATATTAATATTATAAAACCATAATAATATTCGTCACACACCGAGAGCTTTCAGGACATTTTAAGAATCTACGTTTGAATCGGATTACAAGATATGTATCTTTTAGTCGCTTACAACTTGTTACAATTTGTTAGTGCTTGTGCGTTACTGCTAGGAGGTCCCTGGTTCAATCCCTGGGCCAGAACATACACTGTATATCAGGAGTGCTGCTGATTTCACCCATAGTGTTGGCCTTAATGCAGGAGATAGTCAACTCCGACAAGCTATTTGAGCGGGAATGTTGAGCCAAATGTATGCACATTTTGTTGGTAGCAAGTTGTCAAGTGCCAATCAGGAGCGGTGCCGGTCTGTCCCCTCTAGCGCTACTCACTAGCTAAAGCCGAATTCTGCGACAGAAGGCTGCTGATTGGTCAATTGTTCAGGCCCATATCTGGATTTACAAAGACCAGATCTGTCTACTGTATTTATGGAAGTAACTTGTTCATTCACATTCCCACCTCTAAGACCACTCAGACAAGTAGCAATTTGCACCAGTGCGCTAAACCTTGGATTTTTAAAGCCCAAAATGGTGAGGTGACAGTGTGACAGTTACGGAGCTAGAAGGGTTTAGCAGTAGTTTATTTTCTTTGGCCATTATGTACATTCAATCTCAGGTCACATGTTTTCAAATATTGCATAAACATTTTGCAATTAGAACTAAAATGTGTCTATTAAGAATTGAAGTTTAGTTTTCAATGTAAATCGATAGGAGCTTGAGTGAGTTGTAGCAATACTTTATCCATGAGCACTTGCCTGTAGGGTAAGAACCTTACATGGAGAATTAACTGTACTAAGCTTAGAATTGAGTAAAATAACCTTAATGTCTGCTCTCAGAGATGCATGCGTTATTCTAAAGGGTATGTTTACTTAGACCTAGTTTAAATGAGGTAGTATTTAGCTAAGGGATTATCAGTGATCATCCATATACCATGTCATATGCGCCAGATGTGGCCTTTTTTGATAAAATGCAAACAAAATATCTATCAGATCAATCACGTGGGCACTTAAGGAATTCAGGAATGCCTCATCCCCATCACCCATCTCTCTGTTTAACATTGGGTGTCATAGATGATCAAATATAGGAACTAAACCAAAATATTGTATGTTTTCTAAAATAGTCCGACATTGATGACCCTATATACGGCTTTCCCCTTTTCCCTTCCATTGCAAGCCTCCTTTTCAGCCTATAGCTTATATTTACCACAATTCCACAATTAGGCTCAGGAAAATATTGTCGTGCTCTTAGGCGTCACACTGGTTGAATGGGGTGTTTGTACAGGTTGGAATGGTACTTACATATGTTAGAAATGGCTTGTGAAGCAAATAAATACATTCAATGCACCCTTGAGTATCCCAATAATACTATGATAGAACTGTATGTTTAGTTTTAGTATATTTTCAGTATTTTTCCTATGCTCAAAAAAGGCTAACCTTTTATTCCTTTTGGTAATGGAAACTCACCTGCCCTGACCCGATCGAAGCTGCACCTCTCCACAAGACAAAATAGATGTGCTCAGAGAAAATGGAATAGGCCGGGACAGGGACAAGATGAGAAGGGAAATTACCCCGGCGAGCGCACGATAATGTAAAGTTGAGGAGAAAACTGAGGCACGATCACGGAGCAGAAAAGGATTTAAAGTTGGAAGGAAACCGACAAAAAGACAAATCAGAGGGAGTTAGCCGGGTTATGGGAGACAGGTAGCGTGTCACCGGCGCTCAGAATAAATGTTGAGTCTTGCAGGGCAACGTGCAAGGCCATGCTCAGCGCGGCGTCGAACAGCACTCATCCGGAGATAACATCAGGACAGACAGAACGTCCCTCGGCTCTAATACATCTGATATTACTGCAGAGCTGGGGCTGTAGACTTGCCTGTGTGTGCGATGCCAAGCTCTTGTTAGGACCACTGTTGTGTTTCGGAGAGCTCAAATCCACTGGTATTGAAGTCACTTGAGACCGCAAAAAACCATAAGGACTTTGTTTTCACTGAGGTAATTCTCACACTCAGCAAGGTGGACAGTTTATTGTGGTTTGTGTGAAGGAGTTAGAAAAGTTTGTGTTGCTCCTGACTTGCGTATACACTTGAAACTATATTTTACTCAATTCAATCCAATTCACTTTGTTTTTGTATGGCCCTTATAGTCACAACAGTAGTTATCATAGACTTTACAAAACAGATCAGAGAATGAAACGGTTCAAACACAAGAAATAAAAATAAAAAACACAAAGAGCCATAAATGTTGATAAAGTCCATACATTTACTGTAGCCGAGTTAGTGTAGTGAGGTACTGTACATACTTTTTAGCATGGGTTATCAAGAATAGGTTTTAAATAGGCTTTTACATCTGTTGACATCTCGCTTTAAACTGTTTTTAAATTCAATTACATTATTTTTGTTCAGTGTTAGGTCACAACAGCAGTCGTCTCAGAGAATCAAACAATTAGAACACAGGAAATGCAGCAATAAAACAAACACATAGAAGCCATTGGTCTACAAGGTTTCAGGATGACCAATACTGTCATGTGCTGGATCGCCATCAGCAAGGAATGACTGAAAAACCCAGAGGGATTTTTTTGGAAACTTTTGGGAGGAGAAAAAGTGATAGACGGATCCGCTCATCACTGAGTCATGCAATCATTTCAACTGTTGTAGTTGTAGTAAGAGTGGTGTAGCTGTTGCTTTGGTCTATCTATATGAGCAACTCGAGACTAGTGGACAGTCTTATTAAAACAATGTAGATCCAAACAAACATGGCCCAAGCATCAACCAACATCCAATATCAGGTATTGGGATCAAAGTATTCTGGATCCCCCTGTTGTAAATGTGCATTCTTCACTTTCTTACCTAAACAGATGGCTTCAAACTGCCATGTGAACAGACAATACATATAAGACAGAATGGTCATGAATTTGCACTATCCAAAAAGAACATAATTAAGTAATAATCAAAGTCCGGTTTTGAGACATCTATTCTGTGGCATTGGGTTGCAGAGTGTGGATGTGGTTATGTAAATCCCTGAACTTTGATCCGGGCTTCAATGAGGTGATCCACTCTTTACTTGTTTCATAAAAGGTCTGAATTGAACTGAACCTAATTAAATTGCTTTTATTGGAAAGGTTTATAATGACTCGATAGATAAATGAACCTTGCTACATGTAGTGTGCATGCAAATAATATATTCCATCAATGTGGTATAAAATGAAATGCCACATGGACCAGTGACCACGGAGTTTAAACTTACTTTCTTCAAAGCACTTTTGACACCCTATGCTAATGCAAAGAAAAGTACTACTTCTATTTCCCTCTTCTGTCAAAGCTGCCAAATATGAGTGATCGCATAACCCAATTCTATC